CAGGGTAAGTCTGAAAAAATGCTTGAAGGCCTCTGATGGGCTGTCTGAGACATAATGATGCTTAATTTTGTGAAATTAACAATCTGTCTTTATTTGCTTATTTATTTGATTGATTATTAACTTTTTAAATATACTAAATAAATATTTTGTTTTATTCATTTTAAGTCATTCTTTGTTTTTTTCTGTATTCGGCTTTTTTTTTTTTTTTATTATTTGTACTTTTTTTTTTTTGTTTATAACCTTTTTTATGTTTAAGGTTTAAAACTGCATTAAAAATATTCTCTACCAGATGATTCCATCTGGGCAGCGGAATTACCAGTAACGACCGGCTTGCTGGATTCTTTTTTGACCTGAATTTCTCTGTTTTTCTCTCCAAACTCTGTAAGTGCAGATCAGGTGTGAAAGTCCTAAAAAGCCCCCATCCAACTTATTGCAACTTTCTTACAGGGCTTTGCAGAGCCGAACAACAAGCTGATGACCGAGTTTATCCATTTAATTCATGTTGTAGAAATAAAAAATAAAAAAAACATTTTTTTCTTGGAACATAGAAACTCCTTCTGGATCCGTTAGTGGGAAAGCAGGTTGCCTGAATGTGTATCAGCTGCAAAGCTCAAAGGTGATAGACATCAGGTCCTTGGGGTATTAATGGCTTCACATCGCAGAGTCACACACTCTGAGAGCTGTAAATAATCCAGTTAGATCTACTGGGACTCTTTAATGCTGTTGTTCCCTTTATCATTCATCTTATTTTTGCTTTTTTTTTTTTCTTATCTAATTCATTCTTGACAAAACTGAATAAACAATGCGAAAAAAAATAAATTAAAAGGAGGAGATTGAAGAAGGTATATTATTGGACCAATAATAGCTTTAAATATTTAACTGATTAATAAAATCAGCTGCAGATTTACAAATAGCTATGTGACCACTTAAGTGAAACCCTTCAATTTTTTCTAAACATTAATATCAAGCAGAAAACAACCCAAACAGTTTAACCTGGTTCATTATATTTATTTTTTTCATTTTGTCCTTACAGGTTTTCTAAATACAGGAATTGATTTAGATTTTTGAATTTTACCAAACGGTTCCTGTAAAAATGTTCTTCAGTCTATACACAGAAACACATCGTACTATAAATAGCAAAAACAGACCTAAAAATAAATAAAGCACTCTTAAAATTGTTGTAGTTGCTCTTAATTTGAGAAAATGGAACCTACCAGCTCAAATTAAGGGAAAACTTGACTTTTTAAAAATATCTTTTGGACATTATTTGGTGAAGATGTTGTGGAGCTTTGTGCGTCAGTTTCAAAATACTGTAATCAACTAAATTGACCAATTTAATAACTATCATTGAAAGCATATAATGGATTCGATGGATCTCTTTATCCACTTCCATTTACAGTTGTTTATGCCCTTTTTTGCTAAATTTAAACTGTTTTATGTATTTCTTTATGTATCAAACGTTGAACAATCAAAGAATAGATATAATACAAGTTTATTTAATTTGTCTTTTACTTTAGTATGCACCCATTTTAGCTATTTTGTTTCTACATAAAATCATTTCCTGTAACTTTTAAAAATTGTCAATTTTTTTACAAACTCTATCATGTGCTAAATGCAGACATGATATAAGCTGTCACTTTTAGGAGTTTACTTTTTGTGTGCTTGAGCAACAAATCGTGGGTGTTGGAGTTTGAGTTGATAAAAGCGAAAGATCTCCTTTGGGATCCCAAAGAACGACTTACTAGTTTGTTTTTTCACATCATACACCTTTAATTTTCCATCAAGACCTCGAGGATCAGTGCTGCATAACTCACTGCCTCAGTCACGGCTCATTTAAACAAAAAAAGGGGTGTTCTAGTTTTAAAATTCATGATGAAAAATTTCAATTTTCCCCTTGTCCAGAATAGATGACCCCTTTTTCCTGCCAAAGACACAAACGTGGAAGCAATCATTGAACTGAACACAAGTAGAAACATCCACAAATCCCCTCTGAGGGGGGCTTCCATTCACAACTGGTAACTGAGCCACATGTTTTCTTCATGTGTTCAAAGAGGGGCAAAAGTTGAGGACAATAAATTCTGAGAGAGATGATGATGAAATGATGCTGTAACCCTCACTAACATGCCATACATGCACTTGGCATGCAAGCGTAGACTTTTCTAACTTTTCAGCCTGTGCATAATATTCAATTAGCCTGGGCATCAGTTATGGCATCTTTAAATATCTTAAATGCTTATGAGGAGCAGTTTGATCCGATGTTTATGCTGTCTAGACTTGTTCTTTGATTTTAGTTTAAAAGTTTCTGCGACTTGAAAAAGCTGTTATTTATTTGGTAAGCCTCATTGATGATCTATGAATGCATCTTCATGAATATAAGAAAAAGAAATAGTTCTTGGCACCTTGCCTGTCTCTCATGACGCACAAATAGGAAGCCCTCAGTGGGCCAATTAATACTGACACAGAGAGCAGTCAGCGATTTCCTGTGAGACCTGCCAACTTCACCAGCTACTACTATCTCAATCTGGTTTCCATTACGACCACATTTATCTGGATTGCATCAGGCTGCCTTTTTACAGATCTATTCGGTTGCTTCTTATACAGCTGATACAACATGCTGGGCTGAACAGTTTTTTCTGATGAAAAAAGTTTTTTTTTAAATCACTGAGATGAAAAAGTACATGTATACATATGGGAAAGCATGTTGTCGCCTCACAGATGTGTTTTCTTTTTGTTTTTTGTCACACCTTACTGTTTCAGGTATTCAGACACATTTTGATGTTAGACAAAGGTAACCTGAGTAAAAACATAAAAAGCATTTTTTTATCTGACCATTTCATTCAGTAACTGGAAACCAGCCTTTCTTTTTGTAAGGAAAAAGTAATCACATTCCAACTGATCAGGCAAACAAGTGATTTTGATAACTGGCAACAGGTTGGTGAAGGATTTTGACCTATTTCCTTTTCTTACTTGTTTTATTTCATCCAGATCTAAAGGTTTTACAGTTTGTTTAAGTTCACTGCACCAGCATCACAACTGGATTTAAGTCCAGCTACTCCAAAAACTGTCAATTTAGAGAAATCTAGAGAAATTTTCTGTTGTAGTTTGGAATTATTTCTGATGCATAACTCAGGTGCAAATTTGTTTAAGTCATAAACTGCTGGTCAGGTGAGGTTAAGTCCTAAAACAATGATTTGATTGATGATTTAATTTTTTTTTGTTACTACCTGTGGTATTTGCTTTGCTAAATAAACATTTATGCCATTTTTATCAAGTCCCTTGTTCTATCAAAATTACTGTCTTCAACCATATATATATATATATATATATATATATATATATATGGTTATCTTAGTTTAATATTAATCAGTTTTACTTTATATTTGTATTTGCCAGTTTACCGAACATTTCATCTAAAGGCTTTTCACAAATTCAATTCATTAAATCAATTAAAAATTGTTCTGCAAGTGTGACAAAAAATTAAAAAGAGAAGAAATCTATAAATGGGCAAACAATTATTCAAAACAAAGTACATTCAGACCTTTCAAACAACTCCGCTATCAAGATAATGTTATCGACAGATCGAGTTAGAAGCTTCCCAGCAGAAAAATTGTTTACAGGCCTATCAATCTGTCACGTTAACTGAACTGTAAATAAAGCTATTGATTCTGGCAAACAGATAATGTCGCATAATTACAACTCAGCAAATGAGATAGGGGAATGGTTGGACAGAGACGACTTGTGTTACAGAGGTGATCTGAGCGAAGAACAGAAGGTAGGGTGGGGAGAGAGAGAGATGCAAATCCCATGGCAACAGCAACCAGAAAACAAGTCTAAAATAGGGGCAGTGTCCGCTATTGCTATAGCAACAGAAGAACAGCTTACATTCAGCTTTGGGATTTGCTGAAAGGAGAAAAACAAAGCTTTAATTCTAACATAGCTATTATAAATAGACCTTGTCAATGTTTTAGTGGGCTGTATATCACCCAAATAGCTAGAAAATAATGGTTATTCAGGCTTTATTTGGATAACAATTTATAATCTTGATAATTAATCTCTTATTCATTGATTATCTGTCATTTAGTGCAACAAATTGCTTATGAAGTAATGACCTAGCTACTGTTGAATTAATTTCAACATATATTAAAATTAAAATTATTTTAATCAGTATTATGTCATAACAGTCATATAGTTACATCAATTTTAAAACGATGTAATTAAAAAAATCTTACTAGGTATTACATTAATAAAAACATTGCTTTCACTAAAAATAAATAGAATTCAAAGTTTAAATGTGAAACTTAAAGTCAAGCTTCCTGTTAGTTTGGAAAAGTGCAGTACCTGTCACCGCGCCCGGTTTGTTTACATGAAACATGTGCACTGGATGAAGTGGAGGGAGGGGGCATAACAACACAGGCATGCTTCCCCTGCCTACCACTATCCAATCATATTTCTGAGCGACCAGATTCCAGCCAATAAGAAAGCGGCAGTAGAAGGTCGGGGAGCCAATCGCAGTGAGCGCGGACCACTGATGCAACGGACCTGCAACAGCTTCCTACAGAACAACAATACTGTGAGAACGGAGTCAAAGAGTTGTCCGTGATAAATCTCTAAACTTTAAATAAACAAGATGAGCTGAGAAGCTAACGGTGCTAACTTGTCAACAATAGTAAAAAAAAAAAAAAAAAAACCCACAAAAAATAAGTACATTAACTTAATTTGTGGAACTACTTTCTGTTTCCCCAAAAAGTTTCTGTTTTTATTGCTAAAAACATCCAATGAAAGTAAAGTACAATTATATAAACACCTCTAGAGTTGCTTCATTAAGAGGTTGGAATCATAACTTTTCCAACAAGTCATCAGTTAGAGCTGGCAGTGGCAGTGAGCGTGTGGGCCGTCCTTTGGTGCTCCTCCGCTGAGGGTGGGAGTGGGTGGAGTGATCCGCGCCGAACAACAACAACACGTTCTACCCCCGGTGACGTAATCGGTTGCTAGGTGTGAATGAACTGATGCTTTGTCTCGGTGAAACGGCTCTTCAGTTTACAGCTCGACCACAACAAAGAGGCATCTGGTGCTCTGTGCGTTTATTTTTTTGCGACGTCCTGGGTTATTCGGAGCCAAACATGGCTCTTTAAGTTCTCACTGACCTCCTTGGACACGAATAGAAGTCGTGCCTTGCTTTAGCAACGCACCCAAAGTGCTCTACAGTTTTTCCGCAAGAATGGAGTAAGTCAAACTTCTCTACTTCTTTCCATTTCTGTCATTTAAACTGAACATCGCATTTCATTTATTCTTTCTTGAACGATTTCTGTTCAATCTTCAACTTATTAGCCGTTGTTTATTTACTTTAAATAGTTCGCTAAACGATGTTTATTAGGAAATGCGTATTTCATTATAGTTATATCATAAGAATACATTTATTATCGGTTATTTTAGTTGTCATTCCCGTATTTTTAAAACTTTAATTGCTCCTTTTGTGTGTATAAGGTATATTAAAATTTAAAATTAAATAACGGTTCACCAGTCTGTAGACTGTCATATTTGTAATGTGAACCGTTTAAGCAGAGGATTTGTTTAAAAGGAAGCTGCATGGGAAGCAGCTGATCTGCATTAATCTTATTTAACCACCAGGGTGCCTCTCACTTGAGACACATGGTTACCTTGGAGATTCTGCATCAACAGTTTTGGCCCATGGCAGCAGCGCTGAGAGGTCCCACGTGTTTTTAGAATGTGAAGTGTTTCCAGGGTGATTAAAGTCCAAAGGAGACAGTTGCCTCTAGTATCACTTTTTGGCTCCAAATATAATAGTTTGTCTCTTGAAAAGTGTGTTTTATGCTTCTTTATTTAAGGACGTTTGCATGTAACTTATTTAATTTGTAGGATTTTTTTTTATTTTTTTTTTTTACTGTTTTATGTCACAAGATCCAGTTGTGTAGATGTCCATTTGATTGCACAATCCGGATGTTTTCTGTTTACTGATAACTCTGCTTTGCCCCGCAGGTTTCATTATGCTCACCCTGCCCTGCTCTCTGTGGCCCATCAGTCAGACCCCGCTCGCTCCCAGCGTATAGTCGGACTCGGACTAAATCAAGGCGTCAGCAGACAAAATGATGGCAACATCAGCTCATGTTTGGAGGACTCTTCGTGTCTGCCCGGCAGACCCCCTCGCTCTCTCTCCCCCACAGGCTAGCCACAGCCAATCACAGGGGTGCAGGGGGGAGGTGTCAGAGGAGAGCCCGCGTTTAATTGGTGAGTCGCAGAGAGTGCGTTTTTTTTTTTTTTTTTTTGATATTTTTCCTCATTTCAGGTGGGCTCGGCACTGCAGCACATTCGTCCTTCTTGAACAGTAAGTAAAAAACTAGCTAGGGTTGTTTTATCGACATTTGAGGCGACTTAAAGAGACGCGCTCTGCATTTGCGAACAACGATTAAATGATCCTTGGACTGCTAAGTGATATTGTCTTACTTTTTTTTATTTTTTTACTGTTAACATTTTGTACGTCAAACCAACATTTTTCCTCCTCCTCTTTAGGTGATGGTCTCACTGACTGGATGACGGAAGAAGTGGACTTCTCCTCGTACCTCCCAAATCCTCCTTCCCCTCCCTCCTCCACCAATGCCTCCCTTCCCCCTTCACCCCTTCAGAATGATATCCAGGTGCCCTCTGACTTGGAGGTCATGACCTCTTTGCTGCAGGAGGAACTAGCCCAGCTTGAAGACTACTTCCTGTCTGAGCCACTGCCGGAAAAAGGGCAGCGGCTGGGGAAATGCGACAGGGGTCCACTGCCGGCTGGTCCTCAGCCATTCAGTCAACTGCCATATGCCTCGTATTCTGCGTCCACCCAATCGGAGTCCAACCCGCTTCTTGTTACCCTGGCAACCGGGGAGCTGGATCTGCTGAGCATCTGTGGCGGGTCCATAGGGCGATCCAAAATTCCCAGACATGCCCCATACAGCTGCAGCCGCCCCAGTGGGTGTGGTAGGAAAAGAATCCTGGAGGGCGTGAGGTTTGGCGACGGCTACGAAAACAGTTTGTTGGGTTCCAAAGGAGGCAACTCGGGTTCCTCTGCTGCGACACTAACGAGTAATTACAGCTGCGTCGAGGAGGAGCAACTGGTAGGGAAAAACTACTGCTTGGGTAACACAATCGAGGTCAGAAGATGTGGCGGCTTATCCAAAGACGAGAAAAATTGCTGTTTCACCCAAGATGCAATAAGTGGCGTCAAGGTTGCTGGTGGTGGGTTTGGATTCGGCGGGACTCTGGATGCCCCTCAGAAGAAAGAGGACATGTTAATGTACAGCATGAGGGAGGTCAGCGGCGAGGCGCTGAGCGGCGTCAAGACCAGCGTGGAGGTGACAAAGGCCACCGTCTCGTGGAAAAGCGACGTCGGCGAAAGCTGCTACATCCCAGCGACGGCTCAATCGGAGGCCTACAGCAGCTTTTTGGGAAACATCAATGAACAGGTGAAAACAGAGAGTCTGCAGATGCTGCAGCCTGATTTACACAGTAATTACCTGGAGGATCAGGCCCCAGAATGCTTTCTGATGGCGAGGGAGAGTCTGAACATGGAAACCTCAGGGCACAGGCAGGCGTGCAGGCTGAGGGAAGACCACTGCGCTGTGAAATACGAAGTAGACATCATTCCACACGAAGGCGGGGAGCGGAAGCAGAAGAAAAGAGATCAGAACAAAACCGCCGCTCATAGGTAAATCCTCATTTCGACATAATTTAAAAAAAGAATCAAGGGTTTTCACAAGAGCTAAAAAAAGATAATAGAAATCAACATCTTTTGCTTGACATAGGTATCGCCAGCGGAAAAGGGCGGAGCTTGATTCTTTGGAGGAGCAGCTGCACTGCCTGGAGGGGAGGAACCGCGAGTTGCGAGACAAGGCAGAGTCCGTGGAAAGGGAAATCCAATACGTCAAAGACCTGCTGATCGAAGTTTACAAGGCGCGCAGCCAGAGGCTGAAGCAGGACGCCACAGCGTAACGCCGCATCACTTTTGTGTTTTCATCTTCTCGTGAAATTAATGTTTATTTTTTGTTGATCTGCCAATGGGGGGGCGGTCCTGCATGCTTTGATAATACAAATAGTTTTTTTCTTCCTGAATTTTAAATCAATAATTCATCACTTTTTGGCACTGAAATCACCCGAGCCTTCCTTCACTGTGGCGCTGCCATGCTTTACCTGACAATCATCTCTAACAGATCTTCCTCTGAATCTGCTGAATGAATTCGGGTTCTTTTGGGGGAATGTAACGTCATTTCAAACAGCAGGTTATGTATTTATCAACAGCCTTACATCGAAATTGATGTCAGCAATAGAAGCTAAGGATTCTCCTTTTGTCCTATTTTTTTGGATTAGATGTTGTGTTATTGTGGAATGTTTCAGCTCTGAAAAAAAATTCTTTCTGACATTCTTTTCACACAAACATTCCTGTAATTTTTAATTGTTGCTTAATTTATCTATTAATTTATATAATCTTTAATATGAGATGAAACCACTGCAATATTTTTAGCAACTGTTAAAAAAAAATTTCATTTTAATTTGTGAAAACACGCATATCACTGCTTAACACTGCTTTAAAGTAAACTGACATGTTATTTATTGTGCTATGGCTGTAGATTTGAAATTGCAATAATTAAATCGACTTGTTTTAGAGCTCAGGTTAAACTTTCTGTTCTCCTGATCTTTAAACATCAGTAGATAATCATTGCAGGAGGTAATAGACTTGAAGCTTTCCAGTTAACTTTTTCTTTCTTCTGCAGGATTTCATGTTTTCCTTTTGGATTAAAAAAACAATGTTTTATATTTGGGTGCAAACATTAAAATTTGTGGTGTTTTTGCAGTTTTTATTCTGCATGTTTTAGCATTATTATATTATCTAAATTAGAATATGTAGGGATTCAGAAATGAGGATTGTCTCCTAAAGGCAATAAGTTTTATAAGCCTCCAGCTGAGCTGCACTAATTTGTATTTTTTATATGTTCAGGGAGAGGGGCTGTGTGGATTTTCCTTTTAATAACAAAAATAGGAAGAAATGTAAGATTATGTTTAGTTGTGTTTGCTTTATTATTTATTTGCTTAATAACTTAGAGAAACCTTTTGCACATTCCTTTTTTTCTTTCTTTGCACATTACTATTTTTGCATTTGTCATTTATTTCCGTTTTTGTTTTGTTCTGGCTTGAGGTTCATGATGTTAAACTTCAGCGGTGTACTATCAGAAGTTAATTAAACCAAAAATACGGGCTGACAACTCATTGTATCTCTATGTAATTTTATGGTAATTTATCCACGTATGTATGTTTCTTTCTGTGTGGTGTAACTGTTTTCATTAAAAAAGTTAATTAGAAATAAAACCTCATTGAGTTTATTATCCCTTTTTTATTATTATTTTTTCCCAAAATAAAATGGACTCAGGTGTTTTTTTTTAACCTAAATTAAAACAGACAAACTGATCTGAAATAGTTTTTCTCTCTCATTCTCATTGAGAACTTTTTTTTTATGTTGATTCAAAACGTTCCGAAGAGACACCAGAGATGACGGGATGAAACAGAAAATAAGAAAAAAGAATAAAAATATTTAGATTGTATTATTTAGTTTTCTGTTCAATCAAATGAGGTGTAAATAAAATGGATCAAACTATTTGTTCGTCGATCATCTAAAACGCGGCTGCCGCGGAGGTTCTCTGCAGGTTATTAGGCCATTAAAAAAAAAGTTTTTAGACTAGAGCTAAAAAAAATATTTTAAAACACAAAATAACTAAAAACAAATAAAATTCCGTTCAGATAAAAAATAAAGTAGTGATTAAAAATCCCAGAGGGCCTGCAGACAGATGGGAAACAGCTGGAAGTCGCTCCGCTGCAGCAAACATCCGCGATGTGTTCAAAGTTGGAGAAAGAGTTAGTTTTTACGGCGACTTTTTCTTTTGCCATAAATATCTTCTTTTTTTTTTCTTTATAAATTATTGAGATATTTTAAAATCCTGCAAATAATGTAGTTCCACTCAATTTGACATGCATAAACTAATTTTGAATAAATTACTAAAAGAAGTCGCCTTCTTTATTGAAGTGCATCAGTAGTAGCCCATCTGTTTCTTAACATTATTGTTTATATATAATAGTTAATTTAGAAGTTCTACTCAATTTCTACATCATAATCTGTTATCACTGCCTTGCAAATAAAAATAAGATGATCCTTAGATGGAGCTTACTAAAGTAATACTTACCTAAGAATAATTAATGACTAATTTATACAAGAAAAAGTGTGACAACCAGGAATAATTTACCTGGAACTTCTCTTTTAATATTTTAACTTAAAGAAAGAAAAAGAAGGTAAAGGATAAATGTCAAAATAATAAAGAATGATTGGATCTTTTATAACCTTTCTTACATGTACATCTGTTTGTGCTGCTGAAATGAACATCGTAAAGTTACTTTAAAGCTTCCCAATAATTGAAGGAAAAGTAAAATAGATAAAAAAGCTGAAAAGCAAAAGAAAAGGTTTTGATCAAATTCAAGATCTTACAAACACAGTGGATATTAAAAGCCTAACCACAGTTCTCATGTACAGCTTAAATAGAAACAAAAGAAATTATTTTATTTAACTTTTTCCATTATAAGAGAACAAACGCGGCCTCTGGTCTTGCAAGCTTGCAACCTGGACTATAATTGCTGAAGGATCTACGGTGCAGTTTCAGTCAGTATCGGGTCTTCTTCAGCGCACACCAGCATCAATTAAAGGTAATCCATTTAACTTGGGGTAGAGGTCAGTTTTCCTAGGAATTCCAAATAATTGACACCTTTTAGCTTAAGTTTCATTTCACAGACTCTTTATGAAGGATCAAAATGATCTCCTTCTCCAACAGTAACGGTAGAGGACCTACAGCAATGTGCAGCAAGAGCAGGCTAGGTTCTAAGTAAAATGACAATCTCTGAATGACTGAATATGGTTAAAAGACAATACAGCTTTATCTCAGCCTAAAGGAAGCCTTAAATCTTTTTAAAAAACTGCACAGTAAAGCTCAGTGAGGGCAGCATCATGGAATGGGGTCATTTTCTTCACCCGGAACAAGACTTAAAGTGTGTAAAATTATGAATGGTTCTAAAGAACCACAATATTAGGGTGTGTGATGGAAAGCTGATGGATTCAACTGATGAAAACAGTTACAATTGTTGTAAAGGTGTGCACAGTAACACAAACAAGTCACTTCTGATTTTAAATATAGGAAAAATTATGTTTTCCATGCTTTTGTTCTTTTCATACTAACTGTTTATTTACTAAAGAGTCAAAGGATGTGAGACGTCTGTATTGGTCCAACTATACAAACATGAAAGGACACTGTAGTTCTGACACCTGCCTTCTCGTCAGTGGCTCATTTTACTCCTTGCTGGTCCCTGCAAAGCTTCAGGGCTGCTTCAGCAGCGTTTCTCACTGCGCCGTCCGAATCTTTGTACGCTGCTCTGAGGAGGGAGCTGTACACCCCCTCCTCCAAAACGGACACAACGCCGTCAACATTGACCAAGTTTCCTAGAGCTCTGCAGCAGTGACGCCGTGTTACAGCATCAGTGTCAGAGAGCAGACAGGTGAGGGCGGCCGCCGATCTGCGAGCTTCCTCCGTCCATCTTCTCTGCTCGTCTTCACTAAAAGATGAATCACTGGCTGCTGCCATATGTAAGCTTCTCTGTTTACTATTATTGTTCTCACTGTCTCTACCTGAAGTGTCACTGCAGTTTCCTCCCATTTTAAACTTTGCAGCAATGTATCCCAGCCAGTTCCCCACAGCCCTGCAAGCCATTCGACGCACCTGCGGGCAGGAATCCATGAGACAGTTAATCATGCGTCTGAAAACATCCACCTGCAGGGTGCCTTCTTCATTAGGTCTTAAAGGTTTGAAGTTTCCTAGGAATCTACAAGCAGCAGCTCGCATCTGGTTGTATGGATGAGACAGCGCCTGCTGCAGCGGTGCGGCCTCGACGTGGATCAGAGGGGAGGCGAACTGAGAGGAGCAGCGGGCCACTTGGGACAGCAGGTTCAGCAGCTCCACTGCAGAGTCCCACAGCACATCCTGCTGCAGCAACTCGGAAAGGAGAGAGCTGGCAGTTCTGGTGAGAGGAGTCTGAGGTGATGAAAAAAAGCCAGCACCTTCGCCAATATGGGAGATGGAGTGCTCAGGATCACACAACATTAAACGGCTCAGCAGGGAGAGAGGCAGCTCCAGCAGAGAATGAGGGAATGTCTGAATTACCTGTGAAGGCATCAAAATCACAGAACAATTCATCAGACGTCTATCATTTGACAGCAAACAGCTCTCGCCCGTCCGCTGGAGCACAAAGGTGTTAAACTGTAAAGCAGAGCTTGCTGAATGTGAGCAGAGAGCAACACTTATCATATGTTGCATCAGACTTAAGTTTGGCATGGAGGTCTTTAGAGCAGCATTAGGAAGCCCTGACCTGCAGGAGGCTGGAAGCGACGTGGCAGCTGTCATACACCTGCAGGACCGTGGACAAGGTTGGTGACGGCAGGTCCAGAGCAAACGGAAAACAAAGCAGGTGGCAGCTCAATGTGGACAGAGTGTGGCGACTCGGCTCTGTCTCAGAGCTCCCGGAGGGACGTCTGCCTAGGAAATGAAGACTGCAGGGTATAAAAAGATGCTGCTGTTAGCTCACATAGGTTGGTGATTTATAACCCAAACAGCAAATGAACCCATTCACCATGCCCTTCAGAAGTATTCACACCCTTTTAATATTTTCCACGTTTTTGAAGATACAACAAAAAACTTCAATAGATTCTAATTGGATTTTAAGTTATAAAGTTTAGTGAAGTGTAAGGAAAATGAAATAATAATTTATTTAGATTTTTTGAAGAAAAAAATAGTTGGTTTTCTGCCTCTTTTATTCTGATACCACTTTAAAAAAACAATCTAGTACAAACAGCTGCTTTCTGAACATATAGCTAAATCTTCCACCTTTGTAATTCAAATCTAATTATAAAACCAGTTTTCCTGTGAAAAACTCAGAAATTTGAAAGATAACCAGAAAAACAGCAGCAAGAAGACCAGTTAGCTACAGAGATGTTTAAACCAGGATTAGATTATAAAAAACACAACAACCTCAATAAATTGTTACATTCATGCTGATTTTGAACAGTTTCTACCTTAGTCAGTTAAATAACATGCTGCTGTCATTTTGCACATCTCTGATGTTGCTGCTATTTTCAAATATCCATTACTGTAAAAATGTCCATAGCTGCATAGTGGTTATTTAATCTCCAGGTACACTGTACAGTATTTTATTTGCTTTTTTTTTTTAACTCTTTACTAATATATTTTTAATATTAATAAAAAAAAAAGAAATAATCGTTTTTGCTTTGTTTAAAGGTTTAAACCTTTTGACCTTTAAACTTTCATCAGTAATTTAAAAACAAAACCAGTGTAAATGAAAGATTTTGCAGGACAAAAAAATGTTCAAAACCATTTTAGTTTGGTTTAGTTGAGGCTTGTTGACCTTTGAACCTTTGTTTGTGTTATTAACCTTTGTTAATAACCAATAAACATTTGTTGCACGTTCAAGCACAAACATAGGAAAATGGAGTGACAATTTTTTGTTCAATTTGAAGAAGTTGGGGGTCTGCATGACTTTTGGGGATCACTTAGGTGCAAACATACAGTTCTACAAAGTATTGACTCAGTAATAGAAACGCATATCAAAATATAATATTCTAATTTGAAGAAAAAAAAGTCTTTTTTTTTTCCCATCACGGTTGCAGTACTTGGTGTTGGTCCATTATGAAAAATATTAACAAATAATTAAAGTTAAAGCAACTGAATTTTGTTCCATTATTGTTGCAAGCAAAGGAATTGTCAATGGAAATTTGAAAAAAAAACAACAAAAAAAAAACGTCCTGAGAGCCTGGCTTAGCTGTTTAGTGGATGCAAAAACTCTGTTTTGTTCCTCTGGTTTCTACACTGTGTTTAAGATTGAGTGAGGCGCTAAAACTCTTTTCCTGGCACCGATCTTTTTTCTTTTAATACATACATCCTGCAGCTTTTTTACGGAGACATTTGCTCCACTGTTTGCTGGAGATGGAACAGTACAGCATCTCTGAAATATTTACACCCCGGTGTATTGATAAATACATTTTTCCTTCACTAGACGCACACTTCACATTATTCTCGAAACACTAAAGTTTCACATCACAGTGCTTAGGATTTGCTTCGGGCTGCGCAATGTGAATGAAAAAGGAAGATCCACTGCAGGCGGAGCCTCTGCTCGCTGCCAGGTGAGAAATACAGGTGATCAGTTTTTTATCGACACAACACTAGAAACAAATGCTATCCAGAGGTTTAACATTTTAATAATGCTGCTGGCTAAGCTTCTGTTATTTCACTGATTTTTTTTTATTTAGTTTTCATATTATATTTTTCTATTTTAAAATCATTGTTTTTAACATTGCATTTGTTTTTCATGGATCTCAATTCTTCACTTCAAGCCCAATAAAAAAGCTTGTTCATGATGCAAACGTTGACAATATAATGTTGCTAGTCGTCCATGCAGACCAATAGAAATGTGTCTTTGTTCCTAACTCCACAGGAAAGCCCCCCCCCAAAGGTGAAGAGAGTGCAATCTGGAAAATGCCATTTGAAAAGAATGCAATTCGGGAAACTTGATCTGAAAGAGAAATATAAATAAAATAATAAAATATATAAAATATGAAAAATACATTTGAACCAACCCTCCAGCAAAGTCGCTCTCAAAACCTTTAAAAAAAAATCTATTTCAAAGTTTTATTTCTGGATTGCATTTTTTTTTCCTTTTACAGCATCATTTACAAAACGTGTTCTTTGCTTGCAACAATAATGAAAAATATTCACTCAATTTTAGTCTCGTTTCATCTGCAGAATCTGCAGCAGATCACTTTGGACCGGCAGATGGAAAAGTCATGGAGCACGGTAAGACACTAACCAGTTGTTGCCCAGCAGCCAGCAGAGTGTGTAAACACATTTAGATGTTTCATCAGAAAACAGAGCAATGCATGAGAATGGATCCTTGGTTAAGATAAACTGCAAAATCGACAGAAAGGAGTAAAATCCTGAAAGACAAAGGAAAATAAGTCATAAAAAAGTATTACATGAAATAAATGTTTTATGGGTTGGACTTCACCGTCTGCTGAAAGGAAGTCCAGGTTTGGTGTTGTGCTTGTGAGCGATGAACCGACCCTTTTCCACAAGTCTGCTAACAGGAGGGGATTTAACTCAGATGACAATGAAGAATGCTCATGCTAAGGAAAAAACAACAAAAAACGGACAAATCACTGTCAACCAGTGGACATTTGTTCCAGAAAATGTGTAAAGAAAGTGTTTTTTTACATTTTACCTCAGCCAGTATGTGTAGGAGCAAAGAGAGGAGGCCATCATACAGCCCCCAACTAGGAGGAGGCAACATCAGTGTCTAATGGTGCAGAGAGAGAAACAAACTACAGACAACTGCAGGAGGGTCTGAACTACAGAGAACAACATGCTGCTCATTCAATTCATATAAATACCGAGGGATCCGTTTTCAGCAAGGAGGTCAAAATGTCCAGCTCAACAAAAACATCGACACAATTTTCAGTGAAGAGAGACAAAACAGAAGCAGCAAGCGGCTGAAAAAGAACAAAGGAAGATGCATCAGAATCAAACAAGACCCAAGGAGCAGCTTGAAGTAATAATACATTTCTAGAAACAAGAAAACAGGCCATGAGAGGCATAAAAACAATCACACTAACACAGTCCATCAGGTTTTACTTTAAAAGAGCAAACCAGAAGCTTTTATTTTTATTTTACATTTTGAAAGTGGTTGACTGAGTGACTGATTTAGGAGGACACTCACCGCCACAGCCTTGAGATCAGGCCGGATGAGGATCGTCTTGAAAGGTTTAGTGAGCTCCTCCAGCCTGCAAGATGAAACCAGGAGAAAACCTATATTAATCACTCTGTCGTTTTTCTGTTTATTTGTTTTTTACACAGAAAGACAAATAAGTCAAACCAGACCTTGGTTCTCCTTCCACCCAATCAAAATGCTTTTCCCAGTAGATCAGAATACATTTAATCATTTCTCCAAGTGTAAGCACACTCGTCTCCTCCTAATAGGATAAAACGGGAAAAAGGTCAGGCAGTATTACTGTACAACCAAGATTTAGGTTAGCATCTACAACAGAAAAAAGTACCTCCACAAAATCAGAGCTTGAAACAAAATCTCTGATCATATCGAAGAGCACTTGCGGTAGTTCAAGTTCAGAAGTGACGTAGCGAGACTTCTCAGGGTCAGGAGTCAGGATCAAGTTCTGAAGGACCTTTAGTAGAAGATCAATCTGCTGCACGTTCACCACACCAATGCCTGTCAGCTGTACAGAAGAAGATTTCAATAATGTCTAAAAGGGATCCAAGACTTTAGTTAAGAATTTTGTTTTCTATTTAAATAAAAAAACAGTAAAAATACTTTAAGCTGTTATGTTTTAATGTAATTAAATATTTTTAGATGTTGTTAATTCTTTGTTAAATATAATGTAATGTATTAAAAAATGTTGGAAGACATAAAAAGCATAATTTCAATGCCTTTTAATGTCTTTCTCTGAAATTAAAAACTCAAAAAACAACAGCAAGAGTTCAGTAAATAAAAGATGACTGTTCAGACTTGAGGCCTGAACACACCGGTTGCGTCTGTGTTTGTAATCTCTAATCCGATTTTTTTCCCAAGTCACACTGATTGCATATAGAGAAGCTCCGACTAGCAGGGTGAGCAGATCTTTGCAGATTTGTTTCTCTTGTGTCTCTGTGGCAAAAATGAATGAAAACATCTCCAAAATTTGACGTGGAAAGATTCTGAAATGTTATATATAAAAAAAAAAATTAAAACGTAAAAACAGTGGCGCAGCTATAAAGCAAAGCCCTACTTAACGAGTCAGGGCAGCATCTGAAACCAGAACCGATAGATAATCTTATCGACCTACATTTAAAAAAATTATGGGGACTACATTTAAAGAAAAGGAAACGCAGCAATAAAGGCTGTGGGAGGGTTCATATGCTGACTGAGGCAGAGAGGTGATTCTTAGTGAGAGATCTGTGAAGTTTTATCAAAGACTTTCTTTTTTCCATATACCGGTAGAAGGGAGAGTGATGCACTGCGCTTATCTGTACTATCTGCCCCTTGTTATTTTGTTTTTGTGAGACTTAAGGAGGATGACTATTTTACTATATGTATTTTCTGTCCTGAAGTTTTGTTTTTCCTTTTCTGAGGAGAGTGATGTTGCGCTTTCGTCCCTCATGGCTTTTGTGAGGCTCAAACAGGATCACTACTTTACCCATGATAGGAATTTAGGAGGACAGAAAACAGTTAAAGTAGGCTATTCTTTCATTGTTATATTCAATTGTTTATGCTAGAGTCTATCCCGCTTACTATATATGCTCTTTGCAACCCCAAAACTGACTCGTTTCCCTGTGATTAACAAATTTTATGTTGTATTTTCCCCTAAAGCGGATGTTTTTTACTATGTAACCGTGTCACTCTTCCTGTCAGACCCATGAAATTGCCACTGAATTGCTGCGTAGCCTGACTAAAATAGACCTGCGGTCCATCTCAGTGAGAGCTACGCTGCCCCCTTGGAATAATTGGTGCTGGTTGTGTTCAACCCCTTTGACTCTCAGTGAGTGCTAAATGCCATAACCTCATCCAACACGATTTTCTGTCGTATCGGATCCAAAATCGGATACTGTGTGTTTATGACTTGAATGATCACTTTTGAGTCTCATGTGGAAAGCCTCCCCTCTGTCTGGTCACTGTTACTCAAAAATCTTTTAGCTTGTTCTGCCAATCAGCATGAAGGTAAACTCTCCCCAGGCCCAGCCCTGCTCCATAGACCCTGTAAGAGGCCTAGCCTTACTGGAAGTGATGGATGTTTGCTTGTTATCCAATCAGGGCTCTACTTTCTTAATGCTTTATTCCAAAAGAGATTTCACATAGACTGTCAGTCGGCTTCCTGCTGCCCCAGAGCAGATATTGTCTCCGAAAGCTGGCTTAACAGCTGATTAATGTGCAACATACTTATTAAACAAAGTGCTTTTTAGTGCACATTTAATTTACTTTAATAGCAATATTTATGAAGTTAAACAATGCATATTTGACCAATTATTTTACGAAATTGAAAAGTTTTCAATAAGAATCGCCACTGTTTCAATTTGATATTGCTTTAATGTTAGCTTCTGTTAACGATTAGCTCTAGCTAATAGAGTAAACAGTAGATCTCCAGCCAATGCATGTTTTAGCTTCAACAGAAATCTCATGTATAATGGCTCATGAAAACTTTGAGGCAGCGCCACAGTGTGGCATTGTCTACGTTTACACCCGTCAAATGCAATACGCTAAAAACCAACACTGTTAATGCTAGTCTTCCTGTGTTTACTCTGGAGTTCCTAATCCAGTAAGAACGAACCGGGTTATCAGCCCATTACATATTTTGGCCAACTTTTTTAGCTTGTTGTGAGTCTCTTTAAGACAGACTTATTAATTTATTAAACAATGTTGACCCAGTTACCTGAGCCTGAAAGGCCGTAATGGTGGATTTTATTTGATATATGATGTCTTTGTAGTTTAGCAGCTTTTTCTGCTGCCTGCTGGGGTCCGTTTCTTGCAAAAGATTCTTCCAATATCTCTCAATCTCAACATCCTAAAACAAAACAAAAAATTTGACAATTATTATTACTATATTAAGGTAAAAGTTGCCTTGCAAAATTATTCCCACCTCTATAACTATCAGATTTAAACATTTTGCAGCCACATAATACTGGGAAGTAAAACAATTCATTTGATAATTGAGGAATAGATGGAAAAATGATATAGTGAGGTATGAAGGACTTGGACATTTGTTACAACAAATTACAAAGGAGATTCTATGCACAGAATTCTGTTCTGTTCACAATGTCGTACAGAAATGGAGGGGAAAATAACCAACAAAACAAAAACGCACAACCGCAAACCTAAAACGACCTGTCCATGTAAGTGGAGCAAGGTGAGATCACAGATACTTGGAAGCTGTGTTTCCATTACAAATGTGAGTAAAACTTCATTGATATTCTGCTAATTTCAAAAATGCAAGTTTTTAACAATTGCGGTATTTCCATTACATAAGAAATATGATTAAAATTGCCTGTGAATAACTTCATTTACCCAATAACTCTCGAAAACAACATGGCTGCGACAGATGTGAACATATGAGATAAATCCATATTTCAGCCGTGGGTCTAGTGCTCGTTACGCTCTTTGTTTTGAACTAAAAGTAAAAATATAGTCTCCTCATGCATCTAAATATGCTGCGCAATCATCCTCTAACTACCTGAGGTTTTCTTTTTTTGTTTTTTGTCTTTTTACGAGGCAGTAAGCTCCAGTTGTATATCATGTAACTTATTTGATGCAAAAAAAAAGTGTTTCCATTGCAGTTTTGGGGAAATATAAGAGATGGCCGAAAAACCAACCCATTAAAGCGTAAAAACTTTTTAATGAAATTTTTTTAGTTTTTTTCAAAATGACAGTATATTTCCATTTAGAACATTTATTTTTATAATTACAATTTTTCGCAATTTTGCGCAAATTGATCGTTTATGGAAACTAGGCTGCTGACTTAGGTGTGAACAGGACTTTTAGTCATGCATAAACAAATGAGGTCAGTGAGAACAATCTGTTAGAATTCAAACACATGCAGGATGAGGCAGGAGTCCATTATCCACAGGCACAAAAAATAAACATAGAGCTGGAACACTAAGCAGTTATCAACTGCTAGTCCATTGAAATAAATTTCTATAAAATATATTGAATTTTGTTGTTTTAATTAGAAAAATTAGAAAAATATAAAAGCATTGCAGGGCAATGGACACGAGCAGAGAGAATGATCCTGACCTGTCTGGAGAGCGTAGCAGCTCTGTCTTTACTCCCTCTTCGAACAAGTCTGGGCCAAACCTCCACAGAGGGAAACTCCTGTTCATAATCTCTGCTGATCTGACCTCTGATGAGAGAAGGACAACAAATATTAACAATGTCTGCTTGACATTAATTTGTCAAACTTGTAAGCCTCCAGAAAAAGACCTTTGTTTTGATGTAGCTCTGCTCTTCAGAGTCATGCTCTGACTGGCAGCTGTCCCAACAAGCTGGCCAGAAGCACCGGTAGCTTCACAGGACCAGGCGTCGATGAGGCACACATTAGGTGATGCTAAAGCAATAGCGGGGTCCATCTTTTCACTTTCATCCTTCTTGTTCTGTTAAAATACACCAGTTTTAATGGGCGCTGCAAAATCATTTATAAAACAAAACAATTTAAATAACCGCTGACTCACTTTTCCACCGTCAGCCTCTTTCTTTTTGTTCTCCAGCTGATCCCTGACTTTTCTCAGAAACCTGCTCCCCCCTGATGCCGGTGCTGACTTTTCTGCCACTTGCTTCAGTTTCAGCGCCATGACATCTGGGCTGGGTGTGACTGTCAAGGGGCTGAAGAGGTTTATGGCCGACAATACTGCCAGCAACATAGAAATAAGTAGTAACTGAGTAGAAATCAGTAGTAACTTGTTAAAATTAGTTAGGTTTACTTAAGTTTTTTAAAAAGTACTTTTAGAAGATGTTTCACTAGACTGTTATTTCTAGTTTTACAGTATTATTATGAAGTATCGCTCCACAAATAAAAATTTTTTAATACATCACCCATGGTAAATAATTTCACTAAATTATACTGTGGCAGAGAGGAGTAAACACGGCATAAAAACATAACTTTACAGCAAATTCAAAGCTTCCTACCAAACGCATCATAAAAAAAAACATAAGAAAAAAATCTGCAAAGAAAAGAAAAAGCTGCAAATGAGAAATGCTGCAATAATAGAAAAAAGAGAGCAGCAACATGGAAAAATGTTGCAAACACAAAACCCACTGCAGATGCTTTTCTGCAGATTACTTGAAGCTGACACACAAAAACAGGCAAAAAAATATGCTGCAAATAGCAAGAATAATGGACATCCAGGTGGACCTTAGGCATGAGGTTATCAGCTACAGTATCAACATCAACAACATGTGCTTAGAAAAAAAAAAGAGATACTGTAAAACTTAATTCATCTATGGGATTAATAAAGTATTTATAAATTCAATTGAATTTGCTGTCATGTATTTCCACTCCTCGGCCACTGTTCAGTTGCCACCTTCAAGCGGATGTACGTTTAAAGGAAGCCATATGAGAGAATATTGCTTGGTTTTTGGAACAAAAAAAGCGTTCATCAACTCCAAAACACAGAAAAGCGGAATTTATTATTATTATTATTTTTTTACAATGTTGCTTGGAAAGCATTTTAAGGTATAACCTTAGGAGGAAATGTATACTCATGTATACCAACAATGTTTTAAAGACAAGGATTCATTTTTAGAAAGGATAAATCTTTGGGGATTAAGATTGGATTAGATGATAAAATAAATAAGTGTTACCTAAAACACCATCAGCAACAAAAGGATGGTGCAGGAGGTCTGGCCATGACAAACGTCTCTGTGGGTCTTTAGTCAGCAAACCTTTCAGGAAACTCTGAGAACAAAAACAGAATGAATTGTTTAATTGGTTCTTGATAGTTTGTGTGTACAGGCTTGGGGTGTGGATGGATGATGTGGGCTGAGCGTGGGGTTGGGGGGGGTTCAGATTGACCTGTTGGTTTCAGTATTGGCTCTATACTATCATGATGATGTCAATGGTAGTTTCAGAATCACTGATATGAACCTCTGCTGTTTGGTCTAAAGGAAGCAGGCCGTTTTCATTTGGTCCACACTCAGGCTTCTTAGGATCATCCTTGAATTTAATTCATAACATTCACCGGTTGACAATGTACTTTTTTTCTCCTAGTAAAATCCAGAAAACAAAATTGCACTCATGTGAAGAGTACTAGAAATTTTATTTGTATTAGTTTCTCAGCTCTATTTCAAAAAAGAGATTGTTTAAGTTGCTCTCAAATTAAAATGATTGGCACTTTATTTAAGAAGACTGTATATAAGTGTTTTTTTTTTTATCTTTCTTTACAGTATATTTCTGATTATAATATTAACTCTGACTTATATACAACTATGTTAGCTTTGTTGTGTGTTTATGCCTTTTAAGTAAATGCCAAATTGAGATTGTTACTTAGCTTATTGCAAACACACAAAAAAAAAGAAAAATCAAACTTAAGGGATAATTTTTAGGGATAAAATAAATTCAGACAACAGTTGTGTCAGAGAATAATACCAAACACAGCAGGGACCAGCCGTACCAGAAACAAGTGCTTGACAAAGTTTCCTACTGTAGGTCTGAACTGAATGTGCAATAACTGGAATTGGGGAAAATACAGACATAATCGTGACCTTTGGCAAAAAACTAATTGTTTGTGTGATTTGCAGCAACAGGCATCAAGGGGTTAATATAAAGGGGATAAATTTCTAATGGCATAATTGGGCATGGTGCAGATTATCGACCAGTTTGGTCCCGCCCATTTAAAAAGAGCAGATTGCATGTTCTACTGGCTTTGAGAGAGACTGTGAAAAAGATGGAAGTTCAGGGCCATGTAGTTAAAGGTATTAATTATCATTATTCAAAAATAATAAAGGTGATACTAAATATAAAGTATAGTTTGCCTGAAATACGTAGTTTATCTCAAAATCCTATCAAGAAAAGTAAAAAGAATAAAATGATAAAAATAACTAAAGCTGAATATTAAAAAAAATGAAATACCATGAAACAGGAAAAAGGTTTTATCCAGTCAAAGGAGGAAAATCAGTTCTGCAATAAGTAAGAGAAGTGCAGCCTTCACTTCTATTGGTAGACTCTTTCGATTTTTTTTTTTTTTTTAATAAACATATCACAATATCTATATGTTGAAGGTGATTTATGCAGTCAGAAAGGGGTCAAAATTGAAAGATTAAAGTTAAACACGGAAAAAATAGAAGTTGATATTTAATGTCAAATTTTACCTTATAATGTGAGAAACTAAAAAAGCAAGCAAAATAATAAGAATTGAATCTAAATTCAGTTTTGTATTTTAATTACACTTTTTCTTTTTTATCTCTTTTCTTTATTGCAGTTTTAAATGTTATAGTTTCAGAATCAAATCAATTTCTTTTTTTAGTTTCAAATTCAGATTTTGACCCCAATCTGACAGGAGTGGGCGGGGAAACGTGATTGACAGCTTGCAGCAGCGCTGGAGATGTCTCATTCCATGTTGCATTCATGTACTTGGGGAACTCCAACTATTTAACACATTCTCTGCAGCATTTATTTGCCTTGTTTGCAAAATCCTGTGAAAAAACATTATGTTATACACATTTACACTGGAAATGTCACTGTTAATATATATAAAAATAGACAGCCATTGTATAAACCACATAACTTTCCTATGACTGCAAAGTAAATTCTGTATCTGTTCATGGAAAGATGCCGTCTGGACCGAGATTTTCAACCAGCACTGCTAATTAGGTAAGTTTAATCTATTTTACAATCTTAAAGCTACAGTGTGTAACTTTTAGCGACATCTAGCGGTCAGACTGCAGACTGCAGCAACATGAACCCCCCCACCGCTTCTCCCCCCAAACAGTACGGCGAGCGTTACTGGACAAAATGTCTTCCACGACGTCCGCATCACCTACCTTCTCAAGTGATAAGGTTTGTTTACATAGATAATTTTACAGATAGTATTTCATTAGTCTGTGTAGGCTATAGATTTCATGTAGACTTAAGATAATAAATATACCAGTTATTTTTTCTACATCGTTGTGACGTTTTGGCGATCTCGCAATTGCTAGTTTGTTGGCTCTGCGCTGCCGTAGCGCAAAGATGTCTGCCTCCATGGCTGCGAGACCCGCTCCTATGTAATTATAAATAACGAATTCTAAGGCAACACAAATATTAAGGTTAAGAGGCTGAGCTCGTAGATGACGATAAATAACATAGTTATGTATAATATATTACATTTCTGACTGTATATCCCTGTAATTATTACACACTGTAGCTTTAATTGCCACAGACATAAAAAATGCAATGAAGTTTAAAACCTTTAAAAGATGTTAAAAAGCAAAATACACTTCTGGTGATGTATTATGTGGCTTAAGCTTCCCCCCTCTGCTGTCCTGTAAGGATGTAACCTGCTGCTAACCCAGAACTAGTACCTGTTGATGAAATCGGCTACAACTGCCATGTCTGCCAGCCAATGAAGCTAACACGTTCATTTCCAATTACCAAAGTCTCAACTAAGTGTGCTTCTGCTCATAAATTAATGTTACATTCACTGATGCCTGCTTTTGACAACAATGAAAAAATACTTTCAGAAGTGCCAAAAAAGCTGTAAAAGTTGCAGATGACTTTCCAATTTAGGAAAACTGCTTTCTACCTGGCAAATGTTTACAATATCAAATCCTTCCTCCATGAATTTTCGCAGCTTGGAAATTAGAATTTCTTAATATTAATGAAGGCAAACAAACAAAAATGCAAACACTATCTTGGCTGTTGGCAAAATATGGTTTGTTACATAGTGGCAAACAAGAGTTAACATAATGCTATCAAAAGTTTTATATTATTTTTTTTTTTAACTCTTTCAAAGTCCCCAATAGACAAATAAATGATGAAATAATAAATGTAGAACTATGTGAGTAGTATAAAACATAGTTTTCTTCCAACCCAAAAGAAAAACCTTTGCCTTCAAAGTTAAGCTGCCTCTCCAGTCGCTCATTTTATGATATTACTGTATCACACCACTTCTGAAGGCTGAACAAAGTCTAAGATCTCTCACAGCCAAAGCAAATTTTTTTTTACGACATAGAAATTAACAAAAAAAATTAACATTTGTTGCTTCGCGTGGATTAGTGCTAAAACAGCCACTCTGTCTTAACTTTAAGCCAGAATCATCACTCTCTGCCTCGGATCAGACCTGCCTGATCAGAGAAAATGAGAATTTGTTTCACTGCTCTTGGAGGGGATCAAATTACCACTTTGTGCCTGATTTTAATGAAGGAACAACATTATAACATAGTTTGAAATTAAAAAAGAAATGAATTTAGCATAATGTTGGCCCTTTTAAACCTATAAAGTTTGTCCTAATTCAGTCCAAGTTTTTAATTAAATAATCAGAGAGAGAAAAACATAAAGACATCTAAAAATGTCAGATGATTGATGATATATCAAATAACAAAACATAACAGTATTAGTGTTGTTTTGTTGATAAAAGGAATTTGGCTTTCCTGTACCATGCAGCTGTCGCTCATGGTGTCCGGCCACCTGATCTGTTCTCTCACAATCAGCTGAACCAAGTGGAAGATGGAGTTAGTGTAGAATGGTGGCACCCCCGTGTGGAGTTCATACAAAATGCAGCCCAGAGCCCAGAGATCAGCAGTGTGGTCATACGGCTTCTCCTCAACAATCTCAGGAGACATATACAGCGGCGTTCCCTTGATGGAAGTCAGGACCAGGGTGGAGACACTCATTGCTCTGGCAAACCTGGAATAAGAACTGGATTAAATACAAAGGATGGAAATACCGCTTTTTCAAACATTAAAAGAAGGAAGGTTACCGTACCCAAAGTCACAGAGCTTCACTACACCACTTTTTCCTAACAGGATGTTCTGTGGCTTCATGTCTCGGTGAAGGATGCGATGGGAGTGTAAATAATACAGAGCAGAGACCAGCTGGCATGCAATCCCCCGCACCTTAAGGAAGGGTGAGTAATCAAATGGATTATACACAACCAATCGAAGTAGATCTAATCACTGGAGTCCATGATCTGACAGGGAAGTTAATTAGCACAGATCAATCAACTTCATGCATCATCACCTGATCATGGCGGCATATTATGCAGAAAAAAAATACTAGCATGGGAAAGCTAGAACCTGAATAAAGATAAAAACCTGCAACAATACCAAACATGAAAAATGAGCCTCCATCTTTGGGTAGATATGTCTGTATCCACCCTATATCTGATTATACATGAGAGTGAATTAGCCAAACAATCAAAAATCTATTAAAATGTCAAACTATTATTTAAATATAAACTATGGAAACAAGGAAACCTTAATTAAAAGTCTGGTTTAATTAGACTTCCACTGAATGAAAAAATATATATTTCAGCGATACACCTTAGAATAGAATTTAACTTTATTACCGTTGCACTGTCACAGACCCAAGCGCAATGCTCTAACCACTAGGCCGCCACTCCCCCTTATTAAGATGTTCACCAAACATTAGAAAATAAAAACTTATACCAAAAGCCTTCTTCAACAACATCACCATTAGGATCTCTTTCTATTTATACAGAGCATCAAACTAGTAATTATTCATTATAATACTTTGATTTTTTAAGGCATTTATTTAGGGCTGCAACTAACGATTATTTTGCAAATTTTTTAATGTGTCGATAATTTTTTCGATTAACCAATTAAAATTCTTATAGCTAAAGGTTCCTTACAGAAGATCTTTGTATGAAATTAAACGAGTAGAAACTCCAACTTTTCCAGTTGAGGAGTTCTGGATAGAGCGTATTGACGGACGAAAAAGTTCTTTCAATCTTAAATGCAAAATGTTTATATATATATTTATATATATATTTTTTTTTTTACAATATTAGTATAATTACTGCTCAAGGTGGGTTGCTCTGTAAGCTAAAGGTCTGTTTTAGAGTTTCTACACTTCAGTTAATGATTAGTTGATTACTAAATTAGTTGGTGATTGTTTCAATAATCAATTAATCAACATTAAACTGATTAAGTGTTTAAGCCCTACATTTATTCTATATGTACCATCCATAACATTCTCTGATGACAAGACGTACAGTATACTGTATATGTAGTACTGTTAGTATTCATTATACAAACTACTTTACATACTATAAAAAATGGTAACACCATAATAATAACAGCTATGAAACAGCAGGATAATCATATAAAGTTAAAACTTGTTTGGTTAGTAATTCAAACTGTTGACTGTTTGAATATTTCTATTTCACAGTCAAACGGTGCTGTTTAAATAGTCTCACCTGACTGAGGCGCAAAACCTTTCTGAGGTGCTAACTTTGTACATTTTAAATGTACATTTCTCAATAAAGTTATTGCTCTTTTGTCTTAAAAAAGAAAGTGTTTAGGATATCTTTGGTAAGTGTTTATATTTGGATTCAATGAAGAATAGAATGGAACAGAATAGATCTTGTTGTCACTATAACGGGCAGTGGTGTCAAAAGTACACATATTTGTTAATTAAGTAGAAGTATAGCTCCTGCAGTTTAAAAACACTCAATCAACTTGACCTCTTTACTCAAGTAAAAGTGAAAAAGTTTGTGCTCCTCTTTTCTATTTCATCCTGTTCTCCTCATTCTACCAACTTTTCTATGAATACTGTAAAGCCACCTTCCCGTTCTATCCTCTTCCCACTGCTTCTGCCATCTTTCCGTAACCTTTTGTTTAATAATAGATTTAATGTTTTTTTTTTTTTTTTACTAAATGGTATCATTATATCAGTATAATTATTTTTCGTGGCTTATTTTGCATATTTATCTGCCAACTCATTTCCTTTTACTCCTATATGTGACGGTATCCATGTAAAAATAACTATTAAACCCATTGCCTGAATTCTATAAATTAAGAATTGATCTCTAATAAAAGGTCTGGTTTTTTGATTTGATTATTCAATATTGAATATAATGTTTAACTTAACAGGAATTATTAATAATTCAATTATTAATCAATTATTAAATTATTTCTTTGAAAAATCCTCAGTTAAAATCCCTCTGAGTTTCAGAGCCCTACCAACCCTGTGGGACACACAATCTTTAAATTGTTACTGAATACCTGCTTCTCTGGTAAGTTTCCATCATCCTCCAAAATCTGGAACAATTGGCCTTCTGCATATTCAGTTACAACCACAACCTGTTGCAGAGAAACATGGCATTTCTGATTAAGCATTAGTAAACCAGATACACTGAACTTCTTCGAAATAGAAACATGATTTTTTTTTCTGAAAAAAAGAAACAAACAAACAAACAAAAAAGCAAATAATACCTCTGTTTCAGTCTCAAAACTGTCAAAGAGCTGGACTATATTTGGATGCTGGAGGTCTCTCATTATTTCTATTTCCCTCTTCAGATTTCGCAGCTCCTTCTCAGACCGACCCACTTTCGGCATAAACTTTAGAGCCACAACCTGAGAGAAACCGATACCACCGGTGAGCCAAGCAACCATGACCAATAAAAACGGTTTGATAAAGAAACCTTTTACCTGACCGGTGAACTTTTTCCTCCCTTTATAAACTCTGCCGTAGGAGCCTTCACCCACCAGGTTCAGAACGTGATAGGAATCCATCTCTAACCGTTTCAACCCAAACGAACGGAAACTCGACAAGTTAGCAATAAATGCTAGGAGTAAATACAAGCAAATTACAGTAAAATTAATTTTTGTGAGAAAAAATACTTATATACTGTAGGTTTTTGTTAAAATTGAAGGTTTGCAAAACTCAAACTATTTTTTGAGTAACTGCAGATGCACAGGATGAAGCCGACCGACCTAACTGCCTACTGTAAAAAAGATAATTCAAAAAACGTTAAGTTTTATATGTAATTCAGGCTATTTAGAATTCATCAATGTGCCCTGTTAACGGCACGATATCAATAAATAGACAGCTCCTTTTACATAATTTTACAACAAAATAAGAATTTTCAATCTGGCATTTGTTTGGACAGAAAATTGGACAATGGACCCTGAGCCTAGCAACAGTCGCTGCGTCCCTATCAACAGAGCTCGTAAGGAAAACAAAGCGCCTTGTGGTAGAGACTGCAACCACTCATAATAAATGAGACTCTAGTGGGCTTTGTTGCACCTATATTAATATTAATACAGACATATGTTCTTGTTTTTTTGGTTATAAAAGCAAAGTAGAAGTAATATGAACGCATATTTTGGCTAATATATGCCAAACTATTGCTTCTTTGCATTTATAACTTTTATTTTTTTTATTTTATTTACATGACATTCTTAAATAAATGTATATTTGCAGAATCAGTAATTCAAAATGCATTAAAAATGCATCAGGACCGATAACAAAATACGTTGGAACCTATAACCATTGTATAGATCAAGGGTGTAACTTTGAGGTAAAAGTTGGTAAGGGTGCTCTAAGGGTTGGGGCTGATATACCTACAGCTACTCAACCCGAACGCTTTCAATAGGGTTTATATGTACATTTATATGTATATTTATTGAATGATTTCCTGTTGTTGAGAACACAAGAGTACCACAATACACTGATATTTAGCTATAGACAGATGCCTGCCTTTAGTGCATTATTCATAAAGGTCTCAAAAACATTAATGTATAAAAAATGATGAATAACAGCCGATAGTGATGCCAACATCAATATATCATGCATCTCTAGTATAAACACAACTTCCATTCCATCCATCCATCCATGCATGGCTTCCCTTTAAGCTCCATCAGTGATTTTCCTCCTTCACAAGAAGAAAAATCAAATTTAGAAATTTGTCCCATATGTCATCGACAGCCCAGGTCTATGTATTGAACCTTATATTTCAAAAATCATTTATACACTGATTTTTATTATTTGTGCTTTAATTCTTGCAGGTTTCTTATATTTTAAGTCTCTTTCCTGTGAATCTGGCCCTCTCTGGGTTGGCTGGCACAGCTATTTCTGAGTCTTGCTGAACTACAAAAGATGTTGAATTTTATTATAGCATGGCATATTTTTTCTTGTAAACTTGGAGATATATTTAGTGCATGTTTCATATCCCAGTAAATGTGTTTCACCTTTAAATCTGCAGTTGTGCCTAATTGTGTCTCTGCTCTGCTTAAAAACAGATTTATGAACCTTTCTACCAATATAATGATGCCACAGAAACTTATTTCCAAGATATCTAGAAGCTCTGCGGTCTGATTCTTTGTACAATAAGAAAACAACAGATATGTGTTAATTTTAATTTGTAATGGTCCTCTGAGAAGCCCAACGGACTGAAAATGCTCTGAACACAGTTAGTTGCACCTAACCCCAGTAACTGTTGGCTATAGTAAATTAGGGGGAGACCAGCATAGATTATTGGTGGGGACTGTCCCCTCCATGCCCAAAGTTGGTGGGGACATGTCCCCTCCATGCACAAAGTTGGTGGGGACATGTCCCCTCCATGCCCAAAGTTGGTGGGGACATGTCCACACCAGTCCTTCAGAAAGTTAAGCCAGTGGTATAGATTCATAAAAGAATGCTCATATTCTATTAGGTTTACCCTGCCATAATTTTTTCTATCACGTCCCAAATTTCCGGAGTTCTTGGCCATTATAAGACACGTTTGCAAGACGAATATATAAAAAAGTGGGACACTGTTTTCAGCATCACCGTTTTGAAAAAACAAACAAAAAAGGGACAGGACTGCTAGGAAACCCTATGGTTTGATGTAGGACCATAATGATACTACTGATAATTCAGAAATAACTCCTGTGGTGGTCTCAGAATGACAGGATGAAGTGATTAGTTGTGCTGTTCTAAAAGAAAGGGTGCAGTGTCGCTGTTCACCACAAGATGTCGCACATAGTTTCTATAAACCAAACACAGCAGTACAGGAAAATGCTCTCATACAGCCATGAAGCAAGGAGGTGGAAGACTGACCAGTTCATCTTATTATTATTCACTATTAAAAGTTAATTTAAACAAGAAAATCACCATTAAGATGAACAACATATTTTTTTGAAAGATATCTCTTAAAGAAAAGTTAAAAAACACTGCATGTAAAACATTATATGTAAAAAACATCCACATAAAACTTTTTGAAAAAATTAAAACTATCTGTAAAAAGTGACATCAGACAGAATTAAAACAACAATTCTAAGAAGTAATATCTAAGACTGTCAATCTAGTATTAAATTACTTGTAGACATTAAGCTTCAAACCTGCCAAACGCTCAATGTTGTGGCTTGATAGGCAAAAGCCTTTCTTCCAAATTCGGAGCAGACATTTTGGGACAGAAAGTAATACCGATCACTGGAACGCAAAAAGCATTACTTGATGCTCTTATGTGTTTCACACAATTAGATCAAAACAGGACACACACTCATCTTTCAGTTGAATCCCATTTGAACTCTGGATTCAATTGAAAGATAAAAAATATAGGTTAGTGGCTTTGCTATGAAATCAGGTGCCAATTTCAGAAAAATAAGATGAAATAAGACCAGGCCCATCTTCATTTAGGTAGAAGTCACCTGTAAAATTACCTGTGAAAAATTAAAGCTGAAGCCAGATCCTGCAACGTGACAATGAACCAAAATATACATAAAGAAACAAACACTAGAAATAGAAATCTAAGAGCTGACAGTTGGGCAAACTTTCCTCAGACAGGTAAGCTATAGAGAAGTAAACTGAGACTTTCTATGTATTTTATACAATGAGGGAAATAACGTAAACTTTTGGTGGTGACCTGAAATAAACCTCTATATACTTTAGAAAAAGTTTAAAAAGGATGCTTCAGCTGAGAGGTGAAGTATGTATAAGATGGATGTGAAACAGGGGTAATGATCATATAGTTAAAATATTATGCCTAGGTTGATTTCTGTTTTCAGTAATTCAATTAAATAAGGGAATAATTCAATTCAATTCAGTTTATTTATATAGCGCCAATTCACAACACAAGTCATCTCAAGGCACTTTATAGTTCACCAGATCATAGTGTCAAATTGATTCAAAGTTTTCTATCTACTGTAAGGAAAACCAGTTGATTGCATCGACTCATTGACTCGAAGGCAATCCCTCACACTAAGCATGCTTGTAGCGACAGTGGAGAGGAAAAACTCCCTTTTAACAGGAAGAAACCTCCAGCAGAACCAGGCTCAGTGCCATCTGCTGAGTCCAACTGGGGTTCAAGGAGACAGAAGCAGAGATACAAAAAGCAGAATATTATATTTTTAATAAAATTCACTACATGTGTATACACATATATGTGTATATATTGTTTTAAACAGACAGCATAATTATTCAAATTTGTGTTATCATTGTTAATATCAGCTGTTGCTGTGAGAGATGCAGTATTTGATTAATTCATCATGGGAACGAAGTAGATAAAAGGTTTGGTAAATTATAGCCTTGGGTTATAAAATAGGTAATTGACTGATAATAAGTAACACGTTTTTAATTTATTCTGTGTTGTTCATTATTTGTAAAGTACAGGAGGCTTACTGGTGTCCCAGCTTCCACCCATCCTCATTTTTAGCCAAAGGAAGTATCTGTTCCTTCAATTATCCGCCAAGGGGCGCAAGTGCTTCAAATGAACAACATGCGCTTCTTCATCCTCGCATTTCATACAGTTTATACAGCCTGGCAAATACCTGCAGAGGCAGATTACTAAACAATAGTTTCAGCCTTTTTTTTTTTGCATTCATTTCTTTAACTAATTTTCCCATCCGAACCAAGTTTGTCCAATTAGTTCTTTTATTTTAACACAAATGTAATTCCAAGGCATCCCAAACTAACTGTGCAAATCAAGCTGGGGGAAAAAAAACACCCCCTATCCAAATCAGCCTTGTTCATTCCAAGGATGCAGTAGGATTCAGTTGTAGTTGTGAGTCTGAATCGGAGAAGAGGTAGAAGTCCTCATCTGAACTGTGCATCTGAACTGTGCATCCATTGAGAGACTGCCCCCAGTGAAGGACTGGCTTTCCAGATTTTAAAATAACGGAGTAGTTGAGTCCTCAGAAAGCAGCGGTCCCCTCAGCGCTCACAGGTGGAACATGAAAATGGGTCATGGACGGGAGGAGTTTACTCTGAGTCAGCTCATAGGACCTGTGCTGTTTTAGCGGATCATGTTCCTCATCTGTGTCCTGTTCTGCTTCCACTGAGATTTTCTACCCACCTCAGTCCATATAGCCTATTAATATTTTTCTTATTGGTCTTTTCGTTCTTTACTTGATGCAAACATCGACATGTTTGTCAGGACAGTTTTCCTCCTCTACTTTGTTGAATTTATTCGCTGTATGGAAAGTGAGATTTGCTTTCCGATTAAACTGGATGACCATAGTGATGAGTTTGACAACGGGGTGGATATCAGTGTTCAAAAGCGTTTTATAAAATTAGCAGCTTTTCAGCAAGAATTTGTGCTCAATTTACAGCAAGATTCCGAATTCATCGCTCCCTCCATCTCTGTCCAAGGCGCGTTTTGGATCCAAGACCCTGATGTCCACAGGGACTTAAGACGGTGTTTCTACTCTGGATATGTGAACGATGATAGAGATTCCTATGCTGCACTGAGTCTCTGTAAGGGTTTAAATGGTGCATTTGGCTTCCAGGGCTGGGAATATTTCATCAGCCCGGTGCGTAATGGCACCCAGAGCGCGCAGCAGGCGCACGTCGTCCGACGCAGACGCATCCAGGATCTGAAGCAGAATTCCACCTCCAGGTGTGCCGTGGAGAGCGACCTAAGCCCCGCAGATGCGCGATCCCTGCTGAAGTATAGGCATATGACGGAGCTCAGCAGCTTAAACGAAACATTACTGAAGAGGATGGGGAGGGCTAAAAGGTTCGCCTCGGTCCCCCGGTACGTGGAGACGCTGCTGGCTGCAGACGAGTCGATGGTGAACTTCCACGGAGATGACCTAAAGCACTACCTCTTAACGCTGATGTCGGTCGCAGCTAAGCTGTACAGGCACCCAAGCATCCTCAACTCCATCAGCATCACAGTGGTGAAGATCGTGATCATATCTGAGGAGGACAAAGGTCCAAAGGTGTCCGGGAACGCAGCCATGACGCTGCGTAACTTCTGCACCTGGCAGAAAAAGATGAACAAGCACAACGACAAGCACCCAGACTACTGGGACACAGCTATTCTCTTTACAAGACAGGTAAGAGAGCAACAAGAGGAAAAGTATTCACACCTCCTTTATCTTTCTCTATCTCATTAACCACAAACCTTAGTGCATTTTCTTGGAATTTATGGGGACAATTAAGCAAGTCCACGTTTAAATGAAAAGGACAACTTTAGAGGGTTCAAACTTTTCTATATATAAAAGACTTATGTTATATGGTGCACAAAGTGCAACACAACTATCTTTAAAAGTCATCCAAACTATAACATGCCGGTCAGTAGAATAAAATCCTCATAAAAGCTCTTAGATTTTGTGGCTATGGATATTTTTCCAGGGCATGGCACACTTTCTCTCATCGATTAAAAATCTCTAGAAAATCTGTTTGGTAGGATTACTGTCAAACTTAACATCTGCTCTGAATTACATTTCCATCATTGTGCTTCTCCACATCCCATCTCTAACACTGGTGTAAACCTCAACGAACAAACAATAGCTAGGGAGTAATCTAAACCTTAAACAACCGCCTATTTCACTCTACGATGAAACCTCTGTTTAGGAAGTGAGAATGATGTTTTAATCTGATGTATCACAAGGCCAATGGAGCAGCGACTTCCTTCAAAATAAAAGGTCAAATGTAACATCAGACTAGCAGGGCCCTGTCAGCTTTGGCAAACTTTGTCGAATGTTAAACTTTGGAGTCCTCAGAGATGCACTTGTTGGAAGCATCTTGTTTCTTTCAGCCCTTCCCACTCTCCTCCAGTTGGGGTTTTTCCAGCCCTATCCACCATCCTGCCTGCACCTCATTAAACCGGCCCCTGAAGGGAGGACTACATTGGTTATGGGAATGATGAGAGTCACATCCCACCACGTCTTTGCCCCATCTGCTTCCTCCAAGTCAGAAAACAAGCGGCCCTGCCCAGCCTGCACAGTTGGACCTCTGAGTTTGACATTAAGTTGATCTTGAAACCATTATCTTCTCTGTGTTGGCTCCACCTGCTGAGCCCATACATCACACTCTAAATCTCTAGAAAAGAACTGCAAAAAAGAAGTCAGATTCTGTATTATTAAAAGTAACCTGGATTTGGATCCATGAATGACGTTACAAGCTCCACAGCCAGTTTAGATGACCCTAATAAACTCAGAGCCGGCCAGCCATGAGTCATGTGGATTCAGTTTGGTGTATAACACAGGAAAACATGCAACAAGGGATTACAGCACTTTTTCTGTTAGCATACCTCCAGTGATCTCACTGCTTTAGCTGGAGCTTTCAAAAACTGCTACAAGAAAAAAAATCTGCATTTACAAGAGATTTTTGTTTTAATTTTGTTTAATTTTTGTTTAATTTTTGTTAAATTAATGTTTTTGAGCTGTTCAAAGTCCAAGATCTGCAGTATAAAAAAACATGATTAAAATCAGTTTATAATGTTTGACCTCATATGAAAAAAAAAAAAAAAAAAAAAAGATTTTGGTAGAGAAAAGACAGATGCTTTTGTACCTTTTTTGTAGAGTGTAAAGACCAAATGGCAGCTCAGCAAGTTCTTAATTCTGAAAGATGTGATTAAATGGAATCTATTAGTAGGCTGGTTTTATGAAACATTGTCAAATATCATCAGAAACTCTTTCTTTTCACATGTTCTTTTTTTTTCTATTTAAGCATAGAAATAGTACGTTGAGATTTCTATTCTTGTTTTCCATCAAAATACTTACAGCAATGCAGTTTTAGAAGTATTTATGCACCTTAAACATTTGCATATTACCTTAAATTACAACCACAACAATTTAAACCTCTTTAAGAGGGTTATGATACCAATTTTGCACCTGTTAGAACTGACCAGTACTGATATTGACCTGAAACAATACTAGCATGAATCATATTTACTTTTAATACTTAGTCTGCAGTGTGGAAGGTTAGAAAGAGGTTTAATTAAATATTACTCAAACAGATGACAACTGACCTGTTTGTTATTAACCAACGGGTTGAATTAAACTTCAAATCAAATCAAACTCAGCATGCCAATATCTGAGATTTTAGATTCAGGCCGATATAATCCAATTTTGGCTTTTTACCCGATATTGGACCAATAACAATGTTGTATTGGGACATCCCTAATCATGACATAATTTTTATTATTCTTGCATAAAGTCACAAGCTAAGCACATGAGCACAACACTCATATAATCTAAATAAAGCACTAAAGACATACTTGATTTTCCTAAAGCTCTTGCTAGAAAACACATGCCCATATTTTCACATTCATGCCCTTTAAATCAAAGGTAGTAGATACAAGCGGAAAGAAGATCACCACATGTGCTTTAACTGAGCTGGATCACTTTTAGTGTTCATGAGATGGAAAGGAAGAGCAGGATTGTCGTGCGCTTGGACAGTTACCAAATAGTGACTTTGACATTTCTATCCTGCATTTCAGGGAAACATTTTCAACTATAACTTTAATAAAATAAGGCTCTGCACAATATTGATACATAAAGACCTTGAAACATACATTAAATGGGTTTAGTTGTTATTTATCTTTTATTACATCAGATGCAGCTTTTGCCTTCTCCCAATAAAACCCAAAAATAGTTCTAAAAGGGCATGCTTGTCATATTCAATGTTAGTATATTGATGTAAAGAATCAACTACTGTGTTTTTTCTGTCATTTTATGGTTAATATACTAACAACTAAAATCTTAAATTAATTAAAATTTTGCCCTTAAGAGTATCACTGTTTTCACCCTCTGGTTTAGAGAGGAACAAGATATTCTGGAGGTGGTGAATTACGTCTGCATACGAATAACAAGTCCCTTGGTAGGGGTGGCAACTCGGAAGGCCAATGATTGACTACAGGGAGGGGGGCATGACCACCTCTTGCCCAACCTCTAGCTCCACCCCTGATCATTCCCTTGTAGCTCTGGTTTCTTAGAGGTTTCTTTCCAGGACTCCTCTGGTTTCCAGGATGACACCAGCCACCTTCCTCACACCAGCTTGTCCAGAGCTTGGATTCACAGCTGTATTATTTCTCATCCTTTTCATAGTTATCTTCTTCTCAGTGTTGGTCTGTCAAAAAAATCCCAATCAAAAGCACCGATGTTTGTGGTCTTAAGATGACACAATGCAAAAAAGTTAGATCGGCATGAATACTTCTACTGCAGCGGAACATTGACGGTTAAAATCCCTTCCTTCCTTCCTTCCTTCCTTCCTTCCTTCCTTCCTTCCTTCCTTCCTTCCTTCCTTCCTTCCTTCCTTCCTT